ATTGAATGCCACCCATGAATTTTGACGTCAGTGGTGCATCAGTTTCAATACTCAGGCTGTTGGTAAATTGCGGTATACAGTCACCTTTTAAGTATTTTGGACAGTCAACCAAGTGGCATCAATACTTGATGCGCCTCACATTCGTAACATGTAACACAGAGGGGAAGGCAGGAGTGACTCGCGGATTATATTATTCACAATACATTAAGCACTTTCACAGTGGTCGCTGGGAGATTTGGTAATGGCACCATGGGATACATCAAGGTTGGTGAAGTGGCACCAACTTGGAGGGACCAAGCTTCCACGCTTTATTTTGCAGGGGTGACTCGAACCTGTGACCAAACAGGCCGAGATGGAGTAACGATGATGCAATCGATACGTCGGGTTCACTGCTTTGTGATATGATACTGCAAACACAGCACCAGATAAATTATTAAACTTTAAGCATTAAAAAGTTAATTAATGCCACGTTGAAGAAGTGATTTTCAATAATATTTTTCGAAATAAATGGAAGGGTTTGGCATTGCGCGTAGTAGGAAATTAAAGTCAATATCTCGGGGGGCACACATGGGCTTATATCTAAATGACAAGTGGAGGACCAGTAAGGATAAAGAGTAGCCAAGTTAATACTCGACTGATCTCTTCGCCTTTTCCTCCCCTCCAGCAAACCCAGTTAAACAGGTCGCGATTTAAAGCTGCGAATGCATATTCAAGATACGAATGTTTTAAATCCAGCGAGGATTATTCAACGAGAAGGGAAAATGAATAGTGGGTGAGTGACGGGGCGGCGATGAGCAAGAAAAAGTGAAAGCTTCAAAAAAATCCCTTTGAAGAGACTTATTCCAAAAAAATAAATTCTGACAAAAAAAAGAAGGCTTCTGGTTGGAAAAATTCCGATTAAAAAAATGGTGAAAATTGCATTGGGCGATGAAAACTTGACGTTGGTTCTTTTTCTTTTTATCATATCGACAAGCAAGTAAAAGAAGAGGCGAGAGAAGGATACAGGGTAACGGCCATTGCCGCAGGGTTGAGGGATTAAAGGCGATAAATTTCGCAAAAATGGGAGCTTAAGCTGTCTCGCGAGGGCGACAGTCTAATCCGAGGCTCGCGCTTCTCGTTCGCGAAAAGATAGGGGTACCAGGATAATTTCAAGAAGCGGTGTCGTTAGATAGTGGTGTACTTTTTGCAATTGTCTACCCTCGTTTTCAATCGCGAAGAACACTATTGACGACTTTCTCGAATCATTCTTTTTTTTCTTATTCCAGCTATAAATTTTCCGGACTAAAAGGGTCTTGGAAAAAGTAATTTTTTTCCAGTGAACTAGATAAGAGAAAAAAAATGTCAGGTTAAGGTTGAAAAGAGTACTTTTCTCTTAAAGCTGAAGATAAAAAAAATGTGTTGAAACAAAAATGGGTGACTTCATTTTGTAAGCGTAGGAGGTTTTTCGGCCATTCAGTGGTTTGCGCACAATGAGACGCGCATCAACATAATTACAGTTCGCTCGGGTCTTCGTTCTTGGCTAGCCAGAAGCGAAAGAGCGAATGGAGGATGAGCAAATGAGTGAGAAAGAACAGTGTATGGGGCCAAGCGTATTATATTCAAATGTGAGCGCGAGGCGGCGCCAGTGTTGTGTGTGTGTGATGGGTTCCCGTGCCCAGGGGCGACTAGCAGAGGTTGAAGGTTGGAAGTTCGAGGTTGTCGACGAAGAGAAAAGGGACGAACAAGAGTGAGAGAACAGAGAAATGCCGCTTCGAGCCGGCTAGCGAGCCCCAGGAGAGGAAATTACGTCGTCTGGCTTGACCCCTCCATCACCTCTGAAGCGTTTCCTTGTCGGACAAAAAATGAAAGAAACAGAGTTTCTGCCTTTGACCACAGAACAAATAGTACTTTTCCCCTTCATTGATATTGTCTTTTAGAAAAAATCCTCAAATTAATTTCAATGTTTGCTTATGAGTTAATTGACCTGACCAAGAAAAGAATAATTCTCTCCTCAAATATATGAAAATCAAGCATTTTTATAAATTATCCCATTGGAATAAAATTTCCAGTCTCAAAGAATACGAGAACTGTAAAAAAAGTCTACTGAAAGAAAGAAGTGCAGCCATTGACTTTTCCGAACGATGGCAGTTGCCCTCGAGAATTTGTTCGTGCGGAAAAGTGCCGGTCGATGTATGCAAACGTCTCCTCAACGTCCTTTAGAGCCGATAGGGTGACAACGGGCGTGTCGTGTCGCCTTCCGGGGCAAAGTGCCAGTAGAATAAGAATTGTCGTTCAGACATGTTTGAACTGTTTTTCTTCTTTAATATTTTCTTTATGTCGGCCACTGGCAACAGATAAAACTGTCCTACCAATGCACACGACCTTGATGATTCAAGGTCGACAAACTCTTTCCGTAAATGTGGATTTCGTTTATCGAGAAAAGTATTCCGCAAGGACAATATATGTCAGTCGATTCTTCTTCCCGTTGATGGTGAGATAGCAGATCTAAGTGGGCCATGCCGCGCTATGGTTATGGCGACATAAAACGTTCTCCGCACTGTTTCAAGAGCGACGGTATACTGAGGAAGCCCCTTTATGATCGAAAAAACTGCCACTATGATTGCCTATGCAAATTGTTTAAGATATCCGTACCAGGACTGTTTCAGTGTTGCGGTCATGATCAACAGAGATTCTCAACTACTTTTCCCAAATCTATACGGGAACGTGAATATTCTCAAAAATACCAGATTTTTCCAGATATTTTTTTAGTTGACATTTTTCATATTTAGTAATTGAAAATCAATTTGAAATCAAACTTTTTGAGCCAAAATTCAAATTTAATTTTTGTCTGTTCATAAAACAGTTTTATCTGCACATTCGATAGATGGTAATACGAAAGTAGCATAAAGTATATAGCTAGCAAATGTAATTTCGTAGAAGGATTCAATTGATACAAGAAGACTACGATGTGGTGTCTTGAATTCGAGAGATAGAAAATGGAAAAAAGGAAAGAAGAGAAGAAAGAGTCTGAAGCAAGTCGGCGGAAACTGCAAGCTAGACGGATATATCTCCTGAGTAAATTAAAATGGATTATATATGTCGACTCCATCTTCAATCTTTCTTCTCTCCTCCCAGGTTTAGTTTATTACTTGCCAAGAACTCTAGCCAGCTGGATAATTGTTATTGCACAGAAATGAATTTGCACTTTTTTACAATATACACAGTCTGAACGTAAATTTTATGTTTTTCTTTTTATCAAGCTAAAACATAATAATAATTAGTCACTTTTAGGAATTGGAATTTCAATTACTGAAAATCATTAGAAAAAAAGTGTGTTTAACATTATTATTATGTTAATATCATGAAAAGAATACGTGGAGAATATCAATGATAACTTTATGAGAAGGTCGAGGAAAGTGGCTGGTTGGCACAGAGTCGACCATGATGTATGCTTCCCTTCCGTCTAATTAAACTTCGGTAGAGACGCTCAGGGTTGGTCGGTTGGGTAGACGAATTGCGAGGGATGTTGGAAGCTGGCTTTCGAAATGACGATTCTACAGACTTCAGACGTCCGGGACACGTACTCTAAACGAACATTGTCTTTAGAGTTCTTCTCAAAATTAATTTGTCCCCCGTCATGGGAGGGATTGTTATAATCAGTGATTTTCTGTAATTGAAGATTTAAAAAGAATACAGAATTTCTAATGCGTGGAAAAATTGCATTTGTCATGTAATTAAAATAAATGCTAGCGCATAATATGAACGTATGTGTAATGTGAAATCCGTACAGCAGGAACAAAATTTAATCAAACCGGTGTGTCGGTAAATACGACATGGTAGAGGTAGGGCAAATATGCGCTAGAATAGAATTCCGCCTCCATCAAATTAATTTAATTTATATCTGGCTGTCCGAAGCGGCTTGAAGATGCGGTCAGACCTCTATTCTCCCTCTCCATCTATCTATCTGCCTTCGTCTTTACCCCTCTAGTTTCTCTCTCCACTGTCAATTCGAGACGAACTGGGATTAGCGCGCGAGCCCTCGTCCGCAAGGGGACGACTATTGGCGCTTCACGACGGATTTCTTGGCACGATTTGGAATACTTCGACAGGATAGACATTCCTCCGCGACAGCAAAACCAATTCCCTCGACCCTAAATAACATTCTCTGATTCATATGGGAATCTAAAAAATGTAAATTCTAATTTCAAAAGAAAAGTGGCCAATGAAAATTGATTTCTTCAGAATTAAGTTTTTATAAAGTTATTAAACGGTTTCCATAACTGGGCTTAGTTTAAGAGATTTTTGTCATTAAACATGAATTTAAATGGAGTGGAATAGAAAATATGATGTTTTCTAGTGAAATCGAAGCTATCGGATGCAGTGGACTTGAAGTGGAATCGATCGAACGCAGTTCCCACGTAACTAGTACACATGCATTAGAGGCAAGAACCCGCAGTATATACCCACGTCATATCCAATTCGAGCGCTTTTAGTACACGCAGAGAGAGTTTTGTAAGGGGGTCGGTCACCTCGCCTCAGCCCCTCAAATGCGGCGATAATAGCATTAACTGAGCAGCAATATGATTACCGCTCTCGCGAGGTAACTTGATCGTACTCGAAATTCACGTTACGCAATCATGCAGGAACTCTTAATCGCGTTGTGCTTTTCGGGGGCTCAAATTACTCATGAATCATTACATGATTTCGATCAATGAAGGGACAGTCCTTATCTCAACAAGGTAAAATTATATTTCTAGTCCCCCTATTCAAACATTAAAGACTTTTAAATATGCCCATTTCTTATTTTACTTGAATGTATCCCATTGAACACTATGATAGCTTTATTTAAAAGATTTACAAAACAAAATGAAAGATTCATCTTTCAACCTACTGCTTGCCCTCAATTACCTTTTGTCACTATAGTCAACTACATGTCTCACGTGTTGAACGATGAACGACTCGTTCGAAAAATAACATTTCTGTAGACAGAAAATGTCAGCAGTGCAAGAAAAGAGACTCACCGTTAGGTGTTGAAACAGCCACGCCCTGAGGATGTTTGTCGCGACCTTGGGAAAGATGCCCCTCTTCTTCTGGTTCTTCTTACCCGACGAATCATCGTCTTCCTCCCCCGTACCTTCACCACTACCGATACTTGCATTACTTGCATCACCTAAAACAAAAATTCAAATAAAAATATTAAGCAAACAATCATTTCCCGTATTATGTTACACTAGATCAATAAATTATTGTTCAATATTCAACAATGATGCGGGGATATCATCTGCAATTTGACACTTGTAGGTATAGGTATATACCTTTTTTTTATACTCACTATATCCACAATCACCCCCTGAAATAAAATTTTGACTCTCTCTCTCTTCTCTAATAAAACATTCTCCCCTCATTCTTCCCTTCAACTGGGCATTAATTCGCCATCATTTATCAATCTTAGTTCTTTAATTGCACACGAATCTCATTTTCCAGGGACTTCCAATAAATGTTATAGAATGGAGAGAGAGACTAATGAGAAATGCTAAGTCGTCCGCGTTTAGGCACCTACGTGAGTTAAATGTAATTTACCCGACATTAATATGCTTGTCGTCAGGAATACAAATCTATACAACTTCCGATAGATATGAAAGCAATAAATTAAATAAAAACTTATAATTGATATTGTATTAAAACAAATAATTAAAGTTGTGAGTTCGATAATCTGTAAATACTACTTTTTCCTTTACCCTCGGATTTCAGAAAGATCTTTAAAAATATACATCTTTATTTTCAGGTGTACCTTATTAAACATTATTTTCAACATTTACAGATCTTAGAAAAAGGTTTTTTAATTTATTTTTTCCTTCTAAGTTTATCTTCAGATGGCTGAGAATTTAATCTAAGAATTAGGAAGGGAATATATCAAGACGGAGTAAGATTCTCGGCGTCATGTTTTTTCCGAGCCTTGTTTTCATCTGAGGGTTGAAAGCAGTTAGCGGCGGTGCTTGGCATGCGACAAAAACGACAGTTACATCCTCCCGTACTCTTCCTTCATCCCTACCCCTGGCAGGTCTTCCAGAAACGGATAGAACGGTCGTTCATGTCTATAAAGCAATGGCGAAATGACCGACCAAAGTCCTCTGATTGCAGTTAATTTACTCGACGAATCAAGTTAATGTAGCGTACGCACTTAAACCGAGTAGAGGCAGCAGCACCACAGTCAGAAAAATGTCATGCATTATTAGGGACTTCTAATACCCACTTGCTTGCTGCAATTTTCATCATATCAAAAATATTATCTCTTCTTTTCAATTCTCTTTGACAGTTTCTAATACTCGAAATAAAAGAGAAAAACCGTAGTTTGTTGTTATATTAACAAACAATTTAGAGCAGAAATTATTAGTGTTAACAATTTATTTTTTTTTATTATATAATAATGAATATATGGATAGTGAATTCGAGGACCTCGTGGTGTTTGCAATCCATTCGGGAGTGAAACGGATTGAGTGTGCAAAGAGGAGGTTGGCCATGAAAATGGTGGTTTAGCATCATGTCGTCCTAATGTTGATTTACACAGTGTCGAGTTCTTTTTTATTGTTCTGTTATAGAGATTTAAGTGCAACCAATTATATGTTTATGCGCTCGTACCACATACCACAACTTTCATGTTCTCTTCTCCTCTTTTGACGCTCTTTGCTGGGTAGGCTCTTTTTCAATAAAATCCCTCCACCCTATTTCATAGAATCTACAAAATTTTAATGTAAGAGTCTATTGCTTTTTGACGGATCAGATATAACTTTAAAAGAGTGGTTTGTAGAAGAGTTGAACTAAAATAACGGTTTGGTATTTGGATATTACCAGTGCAATACTGTTTTATTAGTTAATTGAAAGAATTTTGTTGATCCATTCAAACTATTTAACGTACACTATAAATTTTAGTGTCTCCTGAAATTACACACCAAATTCTGACCAAGTTTTAAACTACAATATTAACCCCTACAAATTTTTTGATAAGTATAAATGTTTATACATTACGAAAGGGAGACGATATTTTTGAGGGGATACAGTTCTTAAAATTGTAGGAAGGCTGTTATTTCTGGGACGCGCCTGCTCATACGTCAAAGCGTCACGTTCCGAGGCAGACGCTTACATACATCGGCGACTGGTTATCTCGTCGAACCGAGACATCTTCCTCGTCGGCGAGTGGCCGTTCTAGCTTCTATTTAGGGCCCCGACTTGGGCGCTCGTGCCTCCGTCGAAATAACTGCACATATGGCAGCCGAAAATAAACCTCCTTATTTCCCTTCTCGTCGATACCCCCGTCGGCGACGACGGTTCTTCTTCCGATGAAGCTTACTCTCCATCTCACTCTTGCACTCGACGTTAACACGCGTTGCTTTATCAGAGAGAGAGAATAAGCGCAAAACAGATGGTAGGGTCAACATTAATCTTTACATCGTGTACCAACTTCCGAAGTTTTTGCATTACAATCTTGGTTTTACTTTTTTGCAGTTCTTTTCCTTATTTTTAAGAAATTATAATTTTTTTTTTGGTAGATTTCATAACAGATTAGTTGTTTATGAGAATAGTTACTCGCATTTATTAAAAGATCAGAGAGAATGAAGAATGCCAAAACAAGATGAGTCAGACAAAACACGCATAGAGAAAGGACTGGTTTAATAAAGATCTGACATCAAAGGGAATTTTGCGGTTTTCGCCTCGACAAGTCGCATTTACATTGAATAGGATCCGGAAGAAGATCGGCAAAAACTCCGCATTCCGCCGACGACTGACGTCGACGAGGCGCAACCGTGCGACGACGCATTGGAATTAAGTGCGCACACTTAAAATGTACGTCACAGAACAGAGCGCGTCGCGGCGCGGCTCGGCACGGCGTCGAGGATTCGAATACCCCTGGGAGAGACAAGCTAATGTTTTCGCATACTTTGAATCGAGGGAGGGTCATTGCACCAAAACACGCGTTTTGGCTCGTAGTTCGAACTCCCTCATTTCGAGAAAGAGAGACAGAGAGAAGAAGAATCTTCGGCAATTCCGTCGACTATTTTTGGCAGTGAGGCAACGAAAGTGCTCACTAGCTTTCTGAAACTCGCCTCCATTTCATTCAAAATTGTTTTATTCATTTTCAGAAGAAAATATATTTCATACTATATTCTGTTTTAAAAAAAAATCAATCATAGATTGTCACTCAATGCCTGTTTTTTATCGTATTTCTGCTGTTGTAATTAGTATAATGTGTGCGCCTTTAATTGATTTACATTTTGCAGATATAAATTTTCTACTGCTTTGATTTGAGACCTAGTTAGTGAAAAGATTAATTGGCGATTGTGGGTGAGATGAGGCACGATGAGGAGTCCTATTTATTTGCAGACACTCGAAATCCAAGAGGAAAGAAGATGAAGCTCTGCATAGTGTGTTGCACAGGAAGGAAGACAGAGAGGCAATGAGGAGTTTGTCTTACAAATGAGCCGCGCGACGCAGATGATTTAGTACATGGCATGCATGCGTTAACCTTTGCTGTAACTGACGAAGCGTGGGTGGCTGGTTACACTTTAGTTATTAGCCTTCTCTGCTCACTACGTCTTTACTCGGTCAATGAACAATAAATACCAAAATCCACACACTCTGTGCCGTTTAATTTCCGACATGTATACTTGCTTTGTGAAAGCGACCTATCACTCAGATCTTTATGTGCCTCATATTATCAGGTCTCATCTACTATCTTTTCTTTTCCCAACACAAGCATACACAATGACTATTCTAAATACAACAGAGGATTTTTCTTTTAATTTATTCATTTCTCCCTTAAATCTTATACCTAATTAGAAAATACCTTGAAATCTAAATCCTAAATGTGAACTGTAACGATAAAAATATTCAATGTCTGACAAATAAGTTGATGGATTTTTGTAATCCCAATGTCATACGAAGTGTCGCCATGAAAGGTACAAGTATTTATCGAAAAGAAAAGTTCGAATATAACAAATGAGTTATGGAAGTCATTCGGATTAGTTCTCATCTCCTCAAACAAAGATAATAAAAAATCTACAACAGATATTGCTTTTTATATACTATATTCTTGTTTATATTCTTCCTCGCACAGCTTTTCACAAAGTCAAACAAATTTTATTTTCTATGACTTACAAACTTTAAATATTAGAATCTTTTATAAAATGCACCTTATTCGATGGTTATTTTACTTTTTTATATACTTTTAAAGGAGAATGATTATTTAAAGCTGATAAAAATTGAAATAAGAAAAAAGATGAACGACAGAGAGGCGATTAACAGAAACTGAAGAAAGGAAAAAATCAAAGTGAAAGGAAAAGGAGAAAGTAAAGAAGAAAGAAAAGAAGTAACAGCGCAAGAGGGAGGAATCGAGCCACATTTGATTGAGACATCGTTCGGCGGAACGGCTCTGACAGTTATCTGATTCATGGACATGCCGAGTGTATTTTATGCCGTACGACCTATGAATACAGATCGATCGTTGCCTGCCTGCAGCACACAGAATGAGTGGCCCGAGGAGATCATAGGTACATTCTGGTATCGTTGTATCAATTACACATACATATGTGTCTACGAATGCCTCCCATTTAACATCCAATTCGTAAACAAACAAGTTGTCTTTTTTATTGTTATTCATCTTCCTTCCCATAACCATCAGTATATCTAAAGACACTATTACAAATGAATAAAACTGTCTCATAAATGACACTCATTTTCAGCGGCAATAAACGAAACAAACTATTCATTATATACTTCATTCGTCATTCTTTTCTTTCAACGTTGCAATCGTTTCTACATAATATACGTAAATAGCAATGAATTCACGATATCGAACGATGCTTTCTCTAAAGCATGAATGAATTTTGTGAGGCACGCGGGAACGCATGCAAACCGACATTACAATTCGACGTGTGTGCATTGCGCTATGCAATTTCGCGAGAATTTACCGTGTGATAAATTGCAGCTTTATACGGACGGTGCTGCTATTATTTGCCTAGTCGCACGTATGCCCGTGCTTTTGGGATGTACGGTGCTTTTGTGCGGGTGAGCGGCGCGGATGGCACATTCAATTTTCCTTTCGACAAAGCTCTGCCCCCAATGAAGGGACCTTGAAAAGAAAAGAAGAAATATTCAGGAGCTCAGAAAATTTGT